TGATATGTCAAGATCTTTGTAATGTTTTGAACAACCAATAAAAAATAAATAGAGTGCTTATAAATCTGTGCCAAGGATAGCGTATTTAAATACAAGTCCCGATAGATTTCTTTGGAAATGGAAAATATCTTTACTAGATTATCCATGAAAATTAAAACCATATTTTTTAAAATTTAAAATTTGTATTTTCTACATATCAGCATTCTTATTAATACAGCTTAATCTGATAAAGCTCAACCACAAGCATGTTGATTATTTCCCTTGGGGGAGGGTGAATTCAGAGGAAAAAATTAAATTTGTTTTAAATATATGCCATCAAAAATAGTCACTAAATGTGGCCTTATTTGTTTATATCAAAGATTTTCTTCTTCCAAAACAAAACTTTTAAGACAAATTCAAGATTCCTTTGAGTAAAAATAAATAAAACAATATACTCTCTACAATAGTGAATGTACAAAACAATGCATCAGATTTCTAGGCACACTAAAGTATCATACGAAAATATATTCACTAAAAAGAAGCTCTGAAATATGCCCATAAACTTTTATGAAATATTGTAACCCACCTTTTGCTTAATTTACTTTTATGTATTTCATAAATGCCACAAGAAAAATTGGCCACAGTTTGTAATGAAACATAGAAAAAATTTTTTCATTAAAAAAAAACAAACATAGAAATCTTTTCTTCTGTCTACTTTTCCCCATCCTTCACTGCATTGAGATAACAGTTCTTGGTAGTTCCTGCACAGGACCTTCCTGTCACTGGATCTATTACTGCCAACTTTGAAAACAATCTCATTCAGTTCATGTTTCATATGCTTTGTTCATGGAATAGGTAAAGCTTTGAGAAGCACAATGTCCCCAACAGTGCACTGCTGAAGTAGGCTTTCTCCTTATTAAAATACTTTAGGCATCTGAGCAATCCTGGCCATTCTCACTTTCCCCATGATAACATTTGGTGTGGATGGACGAATGAGCTATTGATATTATGTGGCTTTGGTCACATTGAGTTCAGGCAACTTAACTCCTTCTAAAGCCTCTTTTGCGGCAGGACCTCAGCCCACCCCAAATCAACCTTGGAATCATGACACCTTCAGATTCTATTTCAGAAAACAGATTTCTTGCTTAACTATGTTATCAAGAAGCCAAATCACCAGAGTTAAGAGTGCTTGGGGCACCCATCGCTACTATAACAAATTATAGCAATTTAGTGGCTTAAAAACAACAAAAAATGTAGTGTCTTATGGTTCTGGGGTCAGTTCTAAAATGGGCAACAGGACTTCATGCCTTCTGAGACTCTAGGGGATGACCCATTTCTTTTGCTTTTTTGAGCTTTTAGATGCTACCCTCATTCTTTCATTTGTAGCCTTGGGTTGCTCTAAACTGTGCTTCCATTAGCACATCTCCTTCTCTGACTTCACCTTTTCTGCTTCTCTCTTATAAGGACTCTTGTAATTTCATTAAATGTACCTGGATAATCTAGGATAATCTATCCACCTAAAGATCTTAATCACAAAGTCCCATTTGCCATGTAAGATAATACAATCATAGAGTCCAGGGACTGGGACATGGACATCTTTGGAGGCCTTTAGTCTGCCTACCATAGGAGGCAATGAGACCAGAGAATTAATCACAATTGGTCTAAGTCAATTAAGGCAATTGTGATGCTTTCTTTTGATGGTAATGGATCTGTGAGGTAGGCAAGTGAACCATTGTGTCCAGTGAGATGTAGGGAGAAGTCTAGGGTTTCTGGGACAAATTTTTCTTCTGATAGAAGTACAAAAGAAGAAAGCCTTGTTTTTCTACCACCCGCCTCCTTATTTATTGGTTGTTATTATGTGAGAACATAATATTTAGAACTATTCCAACTCCCATGTGATCCTGAAGAAAAGGATAAGAGAATTGTAAAGACACTGACATTGTCACTAACCTAACTTGGAAAATCTTACCTTAGACTTCTTATTAACCAAAATACTTAAATGTTCTTCGTTTGGTCAACTATTAGTTGGATATCTGTTACTTGCAGATGAAGGCACTCCATAGTTCTAAATGGAAAGCTCCAACGCATTTAGACTATGTTACTTGCTTCCAAGAATCCCGACTCTTAGAAAATAAATGTAATGTCTACCCATAAAGGGGGGAAAAACAACATAAAAAAAAGATGGGTGTGTTGGTGATTTTAATCTCGAAGAATCATATTTGAGCTTCTAGACTCATGTAATAAAAGCTACCTTCTTTTTATCTTGATCCATATTCTTCCCACCCACCTGTACCCAGATGGTTTCTGTGTCTGGTTCCAATTATGCAATATGCTATTTACTGGTAAATTAAACAAGATAAGGCCTGTAAAAACCTAGAACAGAGCTATATATAGTAGATGTTCAATACATTGTAGATATTATCATATATTCTTTGTGCTTTATTTCCTGTATTTTAATTTGGCAGCTCAAATTCCATAATCAATAATAATGTCACCAAATCCCCACCTTGAGACAAACTGGATTATGAAGATAACTTCTGCATATACTAATCCTGTGTTGGAGGATTAATAATTTCACCCAATTTTGAAGAAGTTATTCTCTGAGAAAAGTTCAGGGAACCTCCATTATATTCTAATTAGGGGCCCATGTTATAAATTAGTGACAGGTAACACCCTACACCAATGGGTGGCTGCATCTCCCTCTGGAGATAATCTGCATTTCCCTTAATGTGTATTTCTTGCTTTGCCCCAAAGAAATCTCCCTTTTTTTTTCCTCAAATAAACTTCCATCTATGCCTTTGAAAAAAATAAATCAGTAATAGGATTTTTGTTTAATTTGAATTTGGAAGATGAGTGTTTTTCACAATGTTAAAACCAAGCCTCTCCCTCTAATTACTATCTTCAAACAAATCTGTATCAGCATCTTAGCCAAACTATCCCTAGACTAAGATGGAAAAGGGGTTGACAACTCCTTCAAAAAAAAAAAGGGAAAGGCTGTGTTATCTGATGATCTAATGCTCTTCTAAAAATGTATCTGAAGAGATTTCTCAATCTTTCATACTAATGTACTAATAACAGTCCCTCCTTGGGTAAACATGGGTCTTTTCCTTATAATTCCAGACTGAATAAGGACTGTTAAGAAGAAACCACCATCCCATCATAAAACTTGGCAAATGTACCTGTAAAACAGCTTCCAAAGAATATGCTGCTCTGTGACACACAGACAAGTCTTATGGGGCTCTGGTTTTACAGAGCAACATAGAACACTCAATCATTGTTTTATGTGCAATGACCATGAAAATACATAACAGCACATCTAGTCAATTATGCTGAAATGCTGAGTTGCTCTCATGGTGGCAACCCCATTGCCTAGAATGGTGTTTGAATCATATATTTTTGGAATGAATTTTTTAAAGCAAAGGAACCAGGAGACTGCGTTTTTGTGTCTTTAAGAAATGGATTAAGGTGAAGGAGGTTAACATAAAAGAGATTAAGACAGGCAAGAGGAAAGTTGGCCTAGCACCAGTGGGACATGGGAGAGGGAGCCAGAGGAAGTAGGGAAAACAATCAGAGGACAGTGAGTTTGACTCCTTTGAAAGAGGAGAGAAGCAGAGGGAGGGAGGCCTTGGACTGCTTGCAGTTCTAGGAAAGTTTCAGCAAGTCCACTGAGTAGTTCAAGTCAAAATCAGAAATTCTATTTACCAAGTCTTAGGGCTGGAGGTGTCAAGTGCTTCCCTATCATGCACAAGGTTTGATCTCCAGCACAGGAAAAAAAGAACAACAACAACAAAAAAAAAATTCCATGTCTTAGTATCCCTGCCCATTTGCCATCAGCTGGACGGTCTCTGGAAAGCATAGCCTTGTGTTAATGCTACGGTGGATTTCAGACTGTGGCAGCTGGGACCCCCAGTTAATAATGCTACCGCAATAGGAGATCAGAGAGGAAGATTTTGAAAACCAGCACACAGCTGCTTATGAAAGTCTAGATCGATGATTACAAATAAAATGTAGAATATCATTTTCTGGTGCTATGAGTACTACCTTATATTCATTTCAAGATTTACAGCTTGCCTAATGCTTTCACATATTTCCTCTCCTTTGAAATAGTCAGAGTACCCCTATTCTCATTACCAGGATGGGAATCCTGAAGCTGCCTAGGACACCTGCCCACGCAGAGCACAGTGAGTCATGCACTCAACCATCTCACTCTTAGTCCAAGGCTCAGTCCGCTGTATGACAGCTCTTCTAAAACCCAATGCTCTTGAAATGTTTGTGATGTCCTTAAATGAGCTTTCATCTTAGGCTACTTGCTTAACAGACTGCTCCAGAAAGAAAATACACTCCAAAGAAACCTCCTCTGATTGGTCCTATCACTAGATATAGTATTCATGGGATGAAAGTGGATTCTTCTCTGCCAGAGAAACCCATGGAGATGGGTCTAAAGAGGTCCTGTTTGCCTGGAACTCCTTCTGCAGGGTGTGTCTGTGGGCCAGAGTCTCTTATTGCCAGAGCAGCCACATGTGGCTTCAGGATGGAGGAGGAGAGACCTCTGGGCTGAGAAATGCTCATTTTAAGTGTGAGAGATGCAGATTTTTCAGGGAAAACCCTCCCAGAGCCAATGTGCTTTCCTCAAGCTTATTTTTGTGGGACTAGCCCAGCACAGACTGTTCTTTAACATTAAGGAGATTTCTTCTTTAGAAAAAAAAAAAAAGAACCAAAAAAAAAAGTTAAACAAGTTCACCCAGGCTTCAAGAAATATCTAACCCACAGTTTCATTCCACAAATTGAATCAGCTCAAGAAGGAGACAAAAATGCAGACTTTGTATAAAGTTTTAGTGTTTTACCTAAAGTCAAGGTTAAGGTAGCCCAATAAATGAGCTATGGAAAGTGAGATGAAAATAAACATGACATCTTCAAGTACTGAGGACACAGCACACGCATCTTTGATTGCTGTTTATATGAAAGCATTGACATTTTCATTAGTTTTCAGAAAAAGACACTGAAGGACAAAGACCCTTTAAACTATGAAAGTATCTCCAAGAGGAATAAAAGGTAAAACATTTCCATTTCCACAGTACTCTTCTCTATCCAACCTCCTTTCAGGGTAAGATAGAAACTAATGCATATTAGATCTCTTTGGGCTTGCTTCCAGCAAGTGAAAAATGTTCTGTGTTGAATGGCATGCCATTAAACACTGGACCTGACTTTTAGTTTACACTTAAGAATCATTTGCTCAGGGATAGGCAATTGCTTTTCTTTCTTAGAAACAACTTTCCTGCGTAGCCTAAAGGAAATAGCAGAGTAGTGTGCTGCAAAACAGCCTTGAAATTCTAGTCCTGATGACACCAACCAACTAGGTCTTGTTCAGTGGGTTATATAACCACTCATGACCTTTATTTCCTTATTTATAAAATGAGAAGGTGCTAACAGTGAAAAACCTTTATTGTTCTTTCAGTTGATCTGGGGAACCCAAAAAAAATACCAACACCTGGGGCTTCTCACAGACCTATGACATCAGCCTCAGAATCTAGATTTTTAAGATGACCCTGGTGATTTGAAGGCACTCATTCCAAAATCAGTATTTTAGCAGTAGCTGGACAAGATCTTTGAAATCCTTTCCAACTCTAAAATTCTATGATGGGGAGGAGGACAGAAGAGGAAGTCAGGGAGGGATCATTCTTCTATGTTTGAGCTGTAGTCAGCAGCATCTGGGTCACCTGGGAGCTTATTAGAATCTTGGACCGTACTCCAGAAACCTACAGAAACTTAGCATCTGTATTTTAACAAGATCCCCAGGTAGTTCAAAAGAACATTAAAGTTAGAGAGCCCTTCTCTAACTTTGAAACTAATGACAATGTTAAGGCTTTCAGATTTAATAACTAATGAAAATGTTAATGCTTTCAGATGGCTTCCATATAAACAGCAATCAAAAATGTGTGTGCTGTGTCCTCAGTACTTGAAGATGTCATGTTTATTTTCACCTCACTTTCCATAACTCATTTATTGGGCTACCTTAACCTGGTCTCTTTGACTTTAGGTGAAACACTGAAACTTTTCACAAAATACTAGCAATAGATTTTCTTCTTCTGGCTTGGAAGATTTTTTTTTCACCATTTTTTCCCGGTCTTCTAATTTTGTCTTTTATGTTTTTCAACCCACAACTCTGCTATTTCCTTTAGACTACACAGGAAAGTTGGTTCTAAGAAAAAAAAGGCCCCAATACACAGGGTCAGAAATGAACCTGCGACCCACCTGCCAATTTTTCCATCCAAGTCTCTGATCTGACCAAACCAGGAACAAATGACAAAAGAAACACTAAGTTCAGGTGTTCTCTCTTTCTGGCTCCCATTCTTCTCACAGCATGTGGATTCTGAGCATCTCACTACAAGTCTCTTTTCAAATTTGTCTTACATCCCTGTAAAGGCAAAATAGGCAGACAAACATGAGAGAAAGCTGGACTGTGTGTGTGTGTGTCTGTCTGTGTGTGTGTGTGTACATATGTGGTATTATTATTATACCTATTAATCAGGCAAAATTTACCAGTTGAATTCCTGGGGAAAAGCCTGCCAGTCTTAAAGTCTTGAGAAGAAGGAAATTTTAATTCGTTTGACTATTATTTTTGAGCTAGGGTAAAGGGACATGATATATACATAATATAGCTGAAGATTTCTCAGGTGCTTGCTGTCCTTACCCACATCCTGTCTTGAGAGTTGATTACCAAATGAAGAGGGTTAAAAAGCATAACCATAACACCTCCATATGGAAAATACTTTTTTTTTAGGGGAGAGAAAGAAGTCCAATTATAAAATTCATATAAAGCACATAAAAGACAGAATTAGAAGACCAGGGAAAAATGGTGGAAAAAAAAATCTTCCAAGCCAGAAGAGGAAAATCTATTGCTAGTATTTCCTCAAGAACAGAAGAATCCAGGTTTCTTTTTAATGGCACTTTATTGAAATAAAATCTTTAGAGAGACCTAAAGGTTCTTGTTGTTGCATGGGAGGGTGTTCATTATGGAATGCTGTTAGGGTAAACACCCAGCTGTGCCTGGGAAGAATTGTTGGTAGTGAGATAAGAATGTGACAATGAAGGAAACAGAGAGGGGAAAGTGGCCTCTTCCCTTGTCTCCAGTCTTTAGTTGGGGATCAAAGCAGAGAGGCCCCAGTTGTAAAGAAAAAGAATGAGTGGGAGGGGCTTGAGCTATTTAGTATCTTCTCTTGGCCTTGAGCCAAGGAGGAGAATGTACTCATAAAACATTTAAAGAAGTTCCATCTGCACAGTGGGCATGCAGCCTATTCCTTATAGTCCTCCTGCATGTAGACACCTGTTGGCCCTCCCTTTTGGCCTGTCTTGCCATCACTGAGAAGCCGATGAGTATTAAAAGGTCCCAGCCCTCTCCATTGAGTCATCCAGATTCATTCTTTGGAACCAGTGAATAGTTCACTGAGTCTTTCACAGCCCTGGGGTTGAACAGATGCAGATGAAGTTCTTTCCCTGAACACAAATACTACTGCTACTTTGAAGATGTGCCATTTTGACTTTCTCTTCCAAGCTAAAACTGAACTTTATATGGTATTGTTTTCATAAAATTAGGTTTATTATTCATAGGAATTATTTCTGATTATCTTAGTGTGTTTTGTACTGCTATGACAGAATACCACAGACTGGGTAATTTCTACTAATAAACAGAAATTTATCACAGTGCTAGAGGCTGAAAAGTCAGAGATCACAGAGCTGACAGCTGGCAAGGGCCATCTTGATACATCATCCCTATCGGGGGTGGGATTTAAATCTTCATTTTATAACAAACCCTGAGATACTGGCATTAACCATCCACTCCTCTGCCCTCCTGGCCTAACTGCTGCTTATTAGGTTCTACCACCCAAAATTGCCTTGAGGATTAAATTTCTGATGCATGCTTTTTGTAGAACACATTCAAACCATGGCACTGACATAACACAGGAATAAGGTGTATAAATTGCCTAGGATTTTAAGAAAAATCTGTCACTAATAGCCCTTTTGTACCTCTACATTCATAAATCAAATTTTGACAAACACTTGCAATTTGGTTTTCAAATTGCCAGACCTTAGGACTGAGAACAAGAAACAGGTTTCCCTCCCTCCCACCCACCTCACACACCCCAAACCACCTCCACATTCATTCCTGTTTCCTAAGGATAGGTGAGCCCATTAGTCATTCATAACAGTAATGTCAATTTCTCAGATTGTTATCCTTGGAGACTAAGCAGACTGGAAAGACTGAGAGGGAATCTAGTGCAGAAGAGGATGGAGGAGAGGATAAAGTAAGTGATCTAAGACAAATGTCATTCCACCTGCAGGGGAAGGGCAGGCTAGTCTGATTGAAATCAATCAATCACTTGGAGACAGGATCACTGAACTGAGTTCATGGGAGACATAAGGGAGATACAGAAAGTTTGGAGAACTTCAAGGATACACTACATTTGGCCTCACCTATGTCTTTTGATGGCTGACACAGGAAGATCTTTGGATGCTTGAAATAGATTGTCATTTCTGGATAAGGCACTGAGAACTTGATGTAAGAAATGACATATGAATAAATATTATCCAAATTCTGAAATGCATGGGATGTAAGCAAACCTTGACTATAATTCTTGATTTTAATTCTCTTCCATAATATCAGGTATTTTCAATGAAGAAAACTGTAAGTTCTATTCTATTTTAATATAGTGTTAACATGTGTTTGTTCAAACATGAGTATTCACTTCACATAGACTTGGGATGCCATGAACTCTTTCCTCTACCATCACTCATATACGGACTCACTAATAAGGAATGCTGCAATCTTTAATTTAATATTCCCTGAGTCAAGAATCTCACTACTTCATGGGGCTGCCCACTCCACGGCTGGGCAGTGTTTTGAAAATAAATAAATAAATAAGTAACTCTTCTTATGTCAGATGGAAATATGCTCCTGTTTAACATTTCTTCTTTGGTTCTTATTCTGCTCTCTGGCTCAAAAAAAAAAAAATCTAATTTCCATTCCATGACACAACCCTACCCTTCAGATATCTGAAGAGAGTGATCAATTCCATATAGAATTGTCTGTTGTTCAGTAAATTGTGAAATTAAATCATCCCTTTTTCATAGGACTGGATGAAGGAACTGATTAAGTCATTCACAGTTTCTTATTAAAATCTAGACAGGCATTCCATAAAAGTGAAATTTCTTGCTATCTTCATAGTAAAAGGTTTGCCTTTCTTCCCTTAGGCCTGCTTCTAATATTAACTTTATTATTCTGTGTCACTGTCACAGAATTAACACTGTACTGCCTCTTTCTAGATTTGAGTTTCTAGAAGGCAATGCCAGAATTGGATGGGAAACTCTGTTTTCACAATACTACTAGACTCAATGCCTTTTTAAGACCGGTGATTCTAGTTAAGTTTGAGATTGTTTTCCTTAAAAAGCACACATTCAAGCTTGCTTACCCGTCTTCCTTCCTTTAGTGAATTAGATGTTGTGTTGATTGTTCTTATCTTTTAGACTAATGATTTTTCAACATTAAAACTACCTGGGGAGCTTTCAAAAACCACAAGGCCCAGGCTGTACTTTAGACCATTTAAATCAAAATCTCTGGGGATGAAAGTCAAGCATTAGTATTATTTAAAACTCTGAAGATAATTCCAATAGACCTTCAAGGTTGAAAATCGGGGAAATGAATGAAGATCTCTATGTGAAAGGCAGGTCAATGCAAGTATGTGAGTTTTTAGCTGGTTGATTTGATGACTGGTTGAATGAGGGTCTGGTTGAGAGGAGAGAAGTTGCAACTACTGACATAATTTAGATCCTAGGTCCAAGTTAAAAAGGATATCAACACTCCCACATTCATAGCACAGCTACAGAGACCTACTTATCCATCCCCTGGGCCTATTTGGAGGCTGCTTTTGCCCAGAGCATTTCCCCTTCAGCCTCTTTATCCCTCCTTGGCTACTGCAAGCACTTTTAATGCCTCTCCACTTGCTTTGAAATGGCATTTCCTTGAGACAGGTTTTTCTAGTGGTGTCAGGCAGCAAGAAGCCAGGAGGAAGGTTTGCTACCACTGCCTCCCTGGTGACTTTGCCTCATGCACCAGAGAGGCACCTGCTTTACCTACACCTTCAGAAACCCCTTGAAGTTGGTCACTCTCTCAGGCAGCCCCTGATCCATTTCCCACTTGATGTAACAGCAGTGCTTTGCAGAAGCAGGAGTAGTCAAGGAATGTGCATTGAAAGAATAAATTTGTGACAATCGTGTCCACCTCTCCTCCCAGACAAAAGTCAGCCTCTAGTTTCTTGTCCAGAAAATCCTTAGCATCTATCCTGTGGCATACAGGTGACTCTCAGTAAATATTTGATGAATAATGAGTGAACCATTCAACTTTTCCTTGTTGAATCCACTGCTTTTGCAGCCCACAGAATGTCCACTACAATACTAACTCTAGAAAATGTTTGATTGATTAAAAAATCCAAGTTTCTTGAAATTGCCATGTCATGAGTATCCATTTTTTCCGTTTCCAGATCACTGGGTGGTATTTTTTAATTTCCTCAAATGTGAAGCAGCATCAGTAATGTACATTATGATGGGAAGAGCATTCATAAAATTAGTGTGGGTATGAATTTTTTTTTAAAAAAAAAAAGCATGCTGCAGCAGAAGACATCACAGAACACTGATTAACAGTGGTCAGAGAAGGGGAGTTCTCAGCTGTGTCCGACCCAGCACCCATGGAAGGAAGCCATGTTTTAAGAGAGAACATGAAGAAATTACAACAGAGTCACATGATTCAAATACAAAGTAAAAGGACTTAATTAAAACACAGGAAAAAAATAAATGTGTTTTCTTGGGCCCAACTATGTGCTTGAGCAGGCTTTGGGATGAGGATGGCAGTGTATAGAAAGTCCCCCAACTGTAGGTTAGCCTGCAGGAAAGGTTAAAGCTTACACAACCAAAAAACTAGGAAGTCCCTTGGGCAATCAGCTGGGCCTTGTTCTCTTCCCCTTAACAGAACAAGGCAAACATGGCAGCTGTGGATGGTGGGCAAGAACTGGACATTAAAAAAGAAAATTCCCAAATAGTGTGAAACTAGAGAATAAGAAATGCTTCCTTAGAAGCATTTCTTATTCTCTAGTCAGTCTTACGTTTAAAAAAAAAAAAAACAAACGCACACAACAACAAAACTTAGTTTTGTTTAACAGAAGCCCATGTCACAATTTAAACCTGTTCTTCATTTGATTTTCAGAAGCAATGGAAAATAATGTTAAATTTTTCTTCATGAAGAAAAAGAAAGATAAAGAAGAAATTGATGCTAACCTAAATTACCTGAAACCAGTCAACTTTTCCTTGTTGAATCCACTGTCTGTAAAATGTTTAAATTTCTGAATTAAGGTTAGATCCCTGATA